TGCCTCCCCCAACCCTTCTCCCTCTACCTCCCGCCGTCGCCCCCCAACCCCCACCCCCTCCCCTCCCCGCCTCGTCGCCTCCTCCCCTCCCAGCTCCTGTTCTTCTCGATCTCCCGCACTGCGGCTACTCGTCTCCCTCCCTCGCCCCCCCCTCACGTCATACTCCTTGTGCTGCCCGACTTACCCTGTAAAGGTGTAAAAGACTTTGACCCCTTCACTCCACCCCCACCCACTTTTCAGTTGTTTCAATGACCCGTACTCAAATTTTGATGTTTGCTATGTTAACTGGTACCTTCTGACCCTCTTGAGGCAGTAGCAGATAAAATATTTATAATTCTCAATGGTACCTTCTGACCCCTTCGTGCCGGTTCAAAGAAATCTAAATTCAAAACGATTTTCTAATATTAGATACCTTTTCATATCTTTGTAACAGACTGGAGCTGCATCAGTACAGATTAAAACCATAAATAAAATTTAACAAAGTTGTTCTGGACATGATGACTCCGGCCAAGATTTCAACCCTACCGTTACGCTGACAACAGTTTCAGTTACACTTTCCCCAAGACGGCAGCGGTACCAGGAGATCCGTTTTTAAAAACATTTTATAAATATTGCAATACTAATTATTCAGTCAACTTATGTGTCCGAGCGTGACAGTTTCATCCGTGATTAGCGGGGGGGGGGGGGGGGGGGTGATATGAGTCACAGACCAGTACGAGGGGTACTTGTCACAGGTACCAAAGGGGGATATACACCGGTCATGTCCAGGGGTGCGAGGGTGGTTTTTCACGTGCGCCGTGTGGCGGCCGACTTTCTTGGTTAAAAAAAAGAATCGAACATGATACTTTTCGGGCATGTTGTTCTGACCCCTTACAGACTGGCCCTCCCTTTTCCTTCCCCCCTCCTCCCTCCCCCCTCCCTTCTTTTTCCAGCGCCCCCCTCGACCTCTAGTTCCAGTCCTCTTCGCTGTCTGCATCCTTAGCTCCTGATACATCTACTCTCTATCAAACTTCGAGAAGTCATCAGCGTTCACTTCCCGTGCTTCTTCAAAGTGTTGCGAGAGATTTTAGTCCACCAGCCCCATCCTCCCCATCCCCGTACTCCTCTTGCTGGAGCCTTTGAGTCTTGACGTTATCCTTGAGACACTCTTGACTGTTTCATTCATGATGTGCTCCTTGTTAAGACCTAGATTTCTTGGATTCTACAACACCCAACCCGCACCTAGAGGTTGGTGGTCGATGCCACAAGAACCATGTTAGGTTTCACCTCGTCACATTTAGGAGACTGTTTACCTCAACTTCATGCGATAGGACAAGAGAAGGAAAGACTGTATCATAGCTCATGTACATTGTTGTCTTCTGATGTTGCTACTTTCTCTCTTCGCTCCGGTTTGTCGTGCTTACATGGCCCCTTCGTTCAAAGCAAGATGGCAACTTGAGTAGAGCAACTGGCCAACATGAAGAACGACAATCTCGACGAGTATGACAAGAAAGTAGGATCTTTTTTTTGACGAATGCTTGCATGTCATGTTTGTTTACCAGGAGCAATCGGAGCAAGCTTTCATAGGGTATGAAGGTGTAGATGCTGCAATGCTGGTTTGTTGTGCATACTGTTTGTTATGACATTTTGCACAGAGCAATCAAGATATCTTTACTCGTTTGAGGGGCCACAAGTATCGCCATCCCTGGCTTTGAGCGATAATGACAGGTGAGAATGGTGCATAGAAATGATGAGCATGAACATGCTGAGCTTGTGGGTATCAGGAGCGCGATCATGGCGCAGCCAACTAGTCATCCTCATCAGCCATCTGCTGTGCAGGTCGATCATACTTGTGTCATGTTCAACCATTGAGAGTCTGATCTGGCATCGGTTCAGTATTGCTCGCTGACGGAAGTAATCACCTCCGGGTTTCCTAATGTTGATTGGGATCAGCTTCTTTCCTGGCGACGTTGAACCACGTTGCAGGTGGACAAGGCGATCAGGATCTCATCAGATTCCTCGTTGCTCTCAGGTTGTCAACGGAGATGTTGATGGCAGTTGCTGATGAGGGTGTACAGGGTTGAAGATGTGCAGTACGGTAAACTTGACGTGTTGTTATGAGATTAAGATATGTGTGAGCGCTTGTGGCAGACTTCGCAAGTCCTAGCGATCTTGAGAGAAGCTGTTCTGTCACTATCGTGATTCCTCCATTGTTGTCCCTTACATCACATGTGACAAACATATTTGATTGCAGTGAGAACAACCGGAGGCTACAAGACAGGTTGTCTCAAGTGCGTTTGAGGATTGCATGCTGCTCGGATTGTTAGTGATTGTTTGCTTGGCAGGTCAGTGGAAGCGCACAATTGCAGGTATTTGGATTGCAAATGATAGCGATATCAGTATGAGATATCTTGTGCAGCAATATTCATACCCAGGACAAGATGTTATGCAGATGTCGCATCGTCCTCAACAACAGCAGATCTACATAGATCCAGTGATCACTATCTTCATGCTCTGATCATCCTTGCTCCTTATTCGTCTCATGAACATGTTGCAATGCTGAAGTTGTTTGCAGATGTATCAGATACCGGCTGCTAATCCTCAGAGAGATTTTCATACTCAACAGTACACCGTCACTCCCTCCATCTACAACTCTCGTGCTGTATGATCAAGATACGCACTTTCAAGACTTACATGGCATCTTGACTTGCAGGACATCTCCGCAAGTTCCCATCAGCCAATATGGGGCGTCTCGAATCTGAATGTTAGTATGCCCATTGCCCAACTATGAGATGATAAAGATGATGGTGTTGCTGCTCCTGCTGCTCTCGATGATGGAGATGGAGATGGAGATGGAGATGGAGATGGAGATGGAGATGATGATGATGATGATGATGGATATAGTGATGGTGTTTCAAAGATTGAGATGATGATGATGATGATGCGATGTTGGTGATGACGACGACGACAACGATGATGATGATGATGATGATGATGGAGATTATGATGATGATAATATCAACGGCAGGAGTTCTGTTTGCCTTCTCCCCAAGCAGGCACGTCGACAATTCTGTTCCTACAGTGGACTTCCTTTTCTTCTACTATCAGCAGCAGCAGCAGCAGCAGCAGCTGGCAGGTCACCAAGAACGAGGAGACGAGGAGCAGGAGGAAGAGGAGCGAGGAGGAACTACGTGTACGATCAAAGGAGACAAACGCGTCGGACTCGTCAAGCAGCAGCACACGCGCGTCTGACACAGAGAAAAGGTTGAGAGCTAATAAGTTCTGGACCAAAGAAGAGCACAAGGTTGGTCAGGGATGAAGAAGAGAGGGGAGGAGCGAGGGGCTGATAGGAGGAGAGGAGGGGAGGGGAGTGGAGAGGAGAGGAGAGGAGAGGAGAGGAGAGGAGAGGAGAGGAGAGGAGGGGGGGAGGGGCTGATAGGAGGAGTGCATATGGGAAGAGAGGGGAGGAGATGAAAGATGAAAGTTTATGACTAGGTAAAAGGATTGCTGGTAAGAGGAGAGGGGGGGGTTACTGAAGGGTAGAGGAGGGTAGAGGAGGATGGATATGACAGGATAGAAATTTAGAGGATAGTAGAAGATAGCAATGCATGAGAGTTGATTGACGATGATAGCGAGGACAGAGGAGAGGGAAGGGCGAAGACGGTATGCACCATGATGCATACGAGTAGTAGAGTAGGCAGTGGTACCGGGCAAGCATAGGAGGGAGAAGAGAGAGGACGATAAGGTGGTAGTGGAGCAGGAGCAGCAGCAGGAGCAGGAGCAGGAGCAGGAGCAGGAGCAGGAGCAGCAGGAGCAGGACCAGGACCAGGACCAGGACCAGGACCAGGACCAGGACCAGGACCAGGAGCAGGAGCAGGAGCAGGAGCAGGAGCAGGAGCAGGAGCAGGAGCAGGAGCAGGAGGGGTTATGGCTGTTGCTAAAGATGACATTCAGCTGTTCCTTGAGGGGATCAAGAAATATCACGAGCCCAATATTCACGGGGCTCCTGTGGACGATCAGCGACGGGTTGGTCTCGGTCAGGTGAGAATGTGAAGCTCGTCGGGCCCAGCTGAAGTCAAGCACAGGGGATAGCTGAGCTGATAGCTGAACATGTCAAGACGAGAAGCGTGGCGCAAGTAAGTTGACTGTTAGAGGAAGGAGTGAAGGTGGTGTTCCTGGAGGACGAGGACGAGGACGAGGACGAGGAGGACGTAGTGATGATGCTTGTGAAGAAGAATGAGGAGGGGAGAAGGGGGAGGAAAAGGAGGAGGTGGAGGAGCCGGTGGTGAAAGTGGCATGTCACTGACAGGCTATCGGTCAGGTGCGTTCTCATGCGCAGAAGTACTTCATCAAGCAATGGAAACACAAAGACGGGCAGGAGGAGGTGAAGAAAGAGGATGAAGAGAAGGAGGAGAAGGAGGAGGAGATGTAAGGGGATAAGGTCCATTGTGTCTGCTAGAGCTCAAGTTGTACAGAGAAGAGATGAAGATGTCTTGTTACGTTAGAGGTTGTTCATAATGAAGATGGGCAAACAAGCACGACTGATGAAATGATATGGCCCTGCATAGTAGAAAGAAGGAGGGGAGGAAGAGAGAAGAGAGGGAGAGGGAGAGGAGGACAGAGAAAAGGAAGGAGTAGGAGGGGGAGAGAAGAGAGAAGGCAAGGGAGAGAGGGTACGAAGGGAGAGGAGGGAGAGAGGGCGGGAAGGTTGGGGAGGGGCAGAACTAGGGAGAGGAAGGATGAAGGAAGAAGGTGGAGAGATGTAAGAAAGACAGCAACGGGCAGGAAGAAAGTGGGGGAGGAAGAGGTTGAAGTTGAAACTTCATCTCTTGTTCAAGTCAGCATATTCCTTGAGATCTTTCAAGCTGAACTTCCCTACGAAATATGTCATTCACCCTTGTCGTCCTCCTCCCCTTCTCCCCTTCTGCTCTCCTCTTCCCCTCTCGTGATCCTCCCTCTTCTCTCCTCTCCACTATCCTCCTCCCTCTCCTCTCCTCTACTCGCCTCTATCCTCCTCCATTTCTGCACCGCTCCTCTCCTTTATCTTTGCCTGCCCTTACCTTGAACATCTTCGGCAATAGACGCAACATTGTTTGCATCGTCAACAACTCCAGTAGGGGCGAAGGAGAAATAGAAGAGAACTCGATGATTCTCCTCCTGTAAATTTTTCATCTCACTCTCGTTTCTTCTCCTCCCCTCCTCTACTATTTCCTCTACCTTCTCCTCCCCTCATGCCCCTGGTCCCCAAGTTCATGCTCCTCCCTCCTCTGCCACCTCCCTTGCCTCCTTGTCTCCTTTCCTCCCTTCTCTCGCCTCCTCCCACTCCTCCCACTCCTCACCCCTCTGTGCTCTGCCCTGCCATGCCCTGCCATGCCCTCCTCTCTCCTCTTACCTCCTCCTCTCCTCTCCTCTCTTCTCCTCTCTACTCCACTCCTATCCCCTCCATTCCCCTCCTCTCCCCTCCTCTCCTCTCCTCTCCTCCCCTCTCCTCTCCTCTCTCCTCTCACCAGTTCGTTGGCTTTGTTGGCAGTCCCGCAGTGAAGAAGTCTTGAGTCATAGATCGCAGCCTCGCAGGCATGTCGAGGGCCAGCACAGGAAATCAGAAGCGAGAGAGGGAGGAGGACGAGGAGGAGGACGATGACGGTGACCAAGAGAAGGAGCAGGAGCAGGAGCAGGAGAAGGAGCAGGAGCAGGAGAAGGAGCAAGAGCAAGAGCAAGAGCAAGAGCAAGAGCAAGAGCAAGAGCAAGAGCAGGAGCAGGAGGAGAAAGAGATCAACCTTGAATCTTTGAGCATTCTCGGAGGAAAGAATTCTTGTTACTCTTCTGATCAAACTTGGCATGAGACTCCTGGAAGAAGAAATGTCAGTGAGACAAGAGCAAGAGAACAAGGCAGAAAGTGAGCGAGAAGCGGAGAGGGGAGAGGGGGAGAGGAGGAAAGAGGAGAGGAGGAGAGGAGGAGAGGAGGAGAGAAGAAGAGGAAGGGACGAGGAGAAGGAGTGAGAGGAGAGAGGAGGAGAG